GGCTGCATAGGATTCCATGGTGTATATATTCATTTTCTTTAATCAGGTACACCACTGATGGGCCTCTAGGTTGATTCCATGTCTTTGCTAATGTGCCCATTCTAGCTTCTAGAAGCAGCCTTCCTTCTTTGGCTCTTGGCCTCCTTCTGTCTTCAAAACCAGCAAAGGCTGGCTGAGTCTCTCACATGGAATCTATCACTGTAACACACTCTCTTTCTCTCTCTGACTCTAACTCCTCTGCCTCTACTTTTCATCTTTAAGGACCCTGTGAATACATTGGACTCATCTGAGTAATCCAATAAACTCTCCTCCTTTTAAAGTCAGCTAATTAGCAACCTTAATTCCCCCTTTTTATGTAATTGTGAAAGTTGTTAAGAATCATAATGGAGTCACTTGTGTTAAAAATAAAAAAAGGTCCAGGTGCAGTCACTCACGCCTGTAATCCCAGTACTTTGGGAGGCTGGGGTAGGTGGATCGCCTGAGGTCAGGAGTTCGAGACCAGACGGACCAATATGGTGAAACCCTGTCTGTACTAAAAATACAAAATTAGCCGGGCGTGGTGGTGCCTGCCTATAATCCCAGCTACTTGAGAGGCTAAGGCAGGAGAATTGCTTGAACTCAGGAGGCAGAGGTTGCAGTGAGCCAAGACCGCACCATTGCATTCCAGCCCGGGCAACAAGAGCAAAACTCTGTATCAAAAAAAGGAAAAGAAACCTTGACAAATAGAGCTGGGGAAGGCCATGAGAGAGCTTTCATGCATAAATGCCAGATAACAAAAACTATCACAAAAGACTCTGCCAAAACAACAACCTTGCACAAAGGCCGTTGCACCCTTACACAAAAAATATATTTGCAAGGTCATCTGCCCAGCAACTGCCTGTCCAGCCGCTGACTGGCATCACTCTTGTTGTTAATACTTGTAGACAAGGATAATTATCACAAAACAATTATGTAATCCTCCTAATTTTTCCATTAAAAACCTTTGTCTTCCTTTACCTCCTTAAATATGCACATAGTTTACTATGGCATATGTATTTCCACTGCAGTGCCCTATGCGCGAATAAATATTTTCTTTTAGAGAGCCTCTGTTATTTAAACATGCAACATAACATATTCATAAATTCTGGGTATTAGAAAGTAACATATTTGGGGGGGGCGTTAGTCTGCATACCATATCCATTGACTACGCAGGATAGTGCATTGTAATACAGTATAGTAAATATGTTGAGTGCACATTTATTTTGTTTCCCTAGTATATTTTCATCCAAGCTTTGTTGCATCATTCTCACCTCCATCTCCTATAGAGCATGTCTTTTCACCCCTTTTGCTTCCAGTGACTCTACCAATCACACAACTCTACCCCTTATGAACACAGCAGGTAGCATGGGCAAAAATAATAACACATCACTCCAGACCCAGTAGTAGTCCAAGCAGATCAACTAGAGTCCTTCTCTGAGAATTGAGATGGATGGGCAGCTTCCTCTTTCTCCTTGGATCATGAGTCATAAGGCTGTGAACCCAGAGATGTTGGTGGTCATATGTCTATATATACACACTACTCTCCAACAACGTATGGTGAAGCTGAAGAGACCGAAGACAGCAGACAGGCAGAAAGCTGGACCACAACTGAGAAGCGGAGATGGGGCACTTTTACTATTCAAACCTCACAATTCTGTTGACCCTGCAGCTGGCTCCACCACTACGTGTCAGAGGCTGCCTCTGTGAGACAATAATTTCTGCTACTTTGCTTAGGCTAGCTCGAGTTAGAATTTCAGTTGACTCTTGAACAACATGGGCTTGAACTGTGCTGGTGAGATTTTTTTTAAAACCAACCACAGATCAAAGTTGCTATACTCCTGGGATGCTAAACCCACAAATGGGGAGGCAGAATTTTCCTACACTCAAGTTCAGCAGGACAGACTGCAGGACTTGAGTATATACAGATTTTGGTACGTTGTCATCTGCCTTAATTGGTCCTGGAGCCAATCTCCTGAGTATACTGAGGGACAACTGCATATCACTTGGCACAAAAAAGCCTTAAAATAAATACTTAAATTGAAGCATTGCCTGCTTCCTGAGTATCAATTTCGTTTTCTACATTACACCGTAATGCTCATGAGATCAGAGTTTATGCCATAGTTCTATGGATTTCTTCCTATGCATGTGATAGTACTAGGCTTACTGTAAGAGCTCCAAAAATATTTTACGACGTATGCTCTACTTATATGTCATTACGTAAAAATAAAACAAAATTATACTCATGCATTTTTAATATTAGCATTTTTTGACTCTATTCATAACATCTGTGTTTTCCAACTGCGAAGTTTGTGTAAGTGATCTCTTGTAAGATGGAGGTCTGAAACATAAACAGTTTATCACATGTGTTGCTGGAGTAACAATGGGCAGAGATTGCCCTACACTCTAATGACATTTTACTCTCCCCAAATCAGATCGATAGGTTTTTGAGGTGCACTCATGTTGAATTAGAACAATAATAAACATTTTTTAAAGAAATGCATGAAAAATAAAAAGAAATAACAAAAATTACCTTTTAAAATACATATCTTTTCACCTTTTTGAAGCATTTTTACAAAGTTAAGGGGGGTGTGTGTGTGTGCGTGTGTGCGTGTATTTACCACCCCCTTACCATGATGACAACAAGAACTCAAGAAAAAGATTTCCTGGGGCTGGGCATGGTGACTCATGCCTGTAATGGGAGGCCGAGGTGGGTGGATTGCCTGAGCTCAGGTGTTCAAGACCAGCCTGGGCAACATGGTAAAACCGCATCTCTACTAAAATACAAAAAAAACAGCTGGGCATGGTGGCATGCGCCTGTAATCCCAGCTACTTGGGAGGCGGAGGCAGAATCGCTTGAAGCTGGAAGTTGGAGGTTGCAGTGAGGTGAGATCGCATCACTGCTTTCTAGCCTGGGTAACAGAGCGAGACTCTGTCTCAAAAAAAAAAAAAAAAAAGAAAAGAAAAGATTTCCTGGCAAAATGAACCAATGCACTGACCATCTAGATGCACCACAGTGTTCTGTCTTTTCATCTGACTTCCTTAGAGAAGAAATCATCTGATTCATTCAGGGACTATCCTCCCAAGCTAATTAGTACATTTAATCACATCCAATAACTTTGAGTCAGTGGGGGTTTCTGTTTGTTTGCTTTTCGTTTTTTGGCTTAGTATCTGAGTGCTACATGCCAGGGACATTTTTAGGTGCTTAACATGCATTAACTAATGTAATTCTCCAACAACCTATGAGGGTATTTGAGGTAAGCATTATTCTAAAAATGCCTTCCCCCAAAGATTTCCATCTTGATTACTCATTGAAACAGTAATTTAGGTATTGATCTGAAGGGACTTTACAAACATAATTAAAATTTATGTACCTTAAGATAGAAAGAGGCCAGGTATGGTGGCTCATGGCTGTAATCCCAGTAGTTTGGGACGCCAAGACCCGAGGTGGGTGGATTACTTGAGGACAGGGGTTCGAGATCAGCCTGCCCAACATGGAGAGACCCCATGTCTACTAAAAATACGAAAGTTAGCCAGGCATGGTGATGCATGTCTGTAATCTCAGCTACTCAAAAAGGCTGAGGCAGGAGAATTGTTTGAACCTGGGAGGCAGAGGTTGCAGTGAGCTTAGATTGCGCCACTGTACTCCAAGCCTGGGTGACAGAGTGAGACTCTGTCTCAAAAAAAAAAAAAAAAGTTATTCTTAATTATTTGGTTATACCTGATCTAATAATTATTTCAGCCCTTAGAAACGAGAATTTTTTCAGGCTAGAGTCAGAGAGATGTGGCAAAAGAAGGAACAGGAACAGGAGAGATCATACAGAAAGGGAGATCAGAGAGATTTAAAGTGTGAGGAGGACTTGAGGTGCCCTTTCTGGTTTCGAAGATGGAGGAAGGAGCCACAAGCCAAGAAATGCAGATGGCCTCTAGGAGCTGGGAATCCCCATCTGAAAGCCAGCAAGGAAACTGCACAGAACTGAACTCTGCCAACAAGCTGAATGAGCTTGAAAGCAGATCCGCACCCCCGCCCCCGTCCTCCACCCAAACCCCACCACCCCCGAACCTTCATTGAGGAACACAGTCCTGATGACCCTTTACCGGTGCAGTTCTAGATTAGAGGAGACTAAAGAGACATGATCACCAAATTCAAGACGACCCTTTGATTAGATTCTGTTTGTGGATGGGGTAGGGAATAACTTTAAAGAATGTTGTTGAAACAAGTGGGGAAATTTTAATTTGGCCTATTAGAGAATGTTAAATTTCCTGAATGTGATAGTTGAACTGTGGTTATTTAGAAGAATGTCCTAGTTCTTAGGAGACAACATGCTCAAGCATTTAGAAGCGAAGTATCATCCTTAATATAAGCCGATATAAAGCAAATGTGTGCAATGCGAACAGTTGGTGAATCTAGATGACGGGTATATAGGTGTTCATTGAATTATTTTTTGCAATTTTTCTAAAAAAATTTTTCAAAATAAAAAGTTGGCGGGAAATAAAAATCACTGTGGATACTTTGTGTAGCATGGATTTGAGGTCAGTAGGAAAGAAGTGGGAAGACAGGATGAGAAGGTATTCCGCAGCCAGACTGAGGGCTGGGATGCAAGAGGAATAGCAGGGATAATGCAAAGCATCCCCCGCCCACAGCTAGGCCGGCGAAGCAGCTCATCCTGTAACTGTGGTTCCCACAGGCTTCCCTTGCAGGGCCGGGGGTGTGGTCGCCCAGCTGCTTTCGAATTTGGTTGGGATTGAGGACGGGTGCCTTGGGATGCTTTGCCCCGCCCCGCTCCAGATTGGAAGAGCCCACGTGTCAGTGTTAGATGGGGGAAGCGGCATCATAAATTTAATTAGCGCTTCTCTTCTCAAAGTATCTCCCAAATCTTTGGCCTTTTTCCATAACATAATTCCTTTTAGGTCAATATCTCTTTAAAATTGATGTTTAATTAAGAAAAAGTGTGAGTCACATAAAGATGATTTTTTCAGCTTTCCCCGCTACGTCCGCCCCATGCGCCAGGCCGCGAGAGGCAGGACGTGGAAGCGGAAGTGCTGGTCGGGGGCGTTCTCTCGAGTCTGGGGCTCAACTAGCGGACGCTGCCAATGGAGGCGTCTAGCGAGCCGCCGCTGGATGCTAAGTCCGAGGTGAGTGCCAACCGGGAAGGAGAGCGGGCAGCGAGGCTCTGGAGCAAGAAAGATGTTTCTCTAAATTGTGTTTCTGTTTCCGTTTCAGGTCACCAACCAGGTGAGTGAGCGGCCGCCCCGCCCTGTCCTCCGCCGGCCCGCCTCCCACGGCTGCGAGACCATGCCACCCTGAGCCTTCCCCAGGTCTCCCCGAGTCTTGTGTCCCGGAGCCGGTGACCTTCAGTCCGCCTCCTTGCGTTACTCCTTCCCTTTGCATCTGAGCCGGTAGCCGTTGCCATTGTAATGAAAGCTCCTCTTCCCCACCCCGCACTAGCCCAAAGAATGCAGATCAGGGATTGTTGGGCTTTGATTAGGCGTCATTTATTCGAAGCTAGGAACACCGTATTTTAAAGTGTGGTGGATATAGAAGAAGTTATGAAAATTTACAGAGATAGCGTCGCAAACATTTTCTTAGTCTCTAAAAAATGTTATTTTTGAAGATGAAGTATAGCATTTTAGCCTTTTAGAGTATGCATTTATAATGCTAGGAATATGAATTTGACTTTTAAAGTATATGTTAGCCCCATTTCCTTTTCAAGTGCTGCTGTGCTGTTTTAGCTAATAAACTATTTGTAGGCAACTAATTTATAACACTTCCCAGAATAGGAATACCAAAACTAGAGTATTTTTAGGCCAGGAGTTACCCAATTCCATACAAAATGTAAGAAAGGGATGAGATAAGAAATAATTAGAATACAGGGGCTGAGAGAGGTGTCCGTTGACTGCTCTCTGTCATTTTTCTCTAACTGACTTTGCTTTTGAGGATTCCTGGGAAGTAGGGGAAGTCAGCTGTCAACCGTCTACCTGGCTTTGCTTAGTTATATGACTTAGTGCATTTTGAGTCGATCTTTCGTAAGTCATTTTATCCATTCTCTTACGTTAAGTTTTGTATTTAAGATATTCTGAAACAGAATTATACTAATTATAGGGTTTTTAAAGTTGAACTCTTTTTGGCTTAAACACAAATTTATTATCTTCTAGTTCTGGAGGTCAGAAGTCCTAAACTAGTCGTACGGGGCTAAAATCAAGGTATCTGCAGGTCTGTGTTCGGTCTGAGGCGGTAGGGGAGATTGTTTCCTCCTTGGCTTGTGGCCTCTGCTTCCATCTTCAGAGCACATCATTCCAGCTTCTGCTTCCATTGTCACATTGCCTTCTAACTCTGACCCTTTTTTCTCCCTCTTATAAGGACCCTTTCGATTACATTTGGCCCACCTGGAAAATCCAGGAAAATCTCCGCATCTCCAAGTCCTTAATTTTGTCACATCTACCAATACTGTTTTGTTGCCTAAGGTAACATATTCATAGATTTTGAGGATTAGCATGTGGACATATTTGGGAGGGCCATTATTCAGCCTACTGCACATCCTTCTATACAGTCATTCATAGATTATGAGTGTTTGCATAGAAAAAGCCAGATCATTTACAAACAGGTTATTAGATTTAATATGAGAGTTCAGCAAGGTGATTCCATTGTTGAACGTTATTTAGTTCAGACAAAAAAGAGTTGGAAAATATAATTTTAAAGATGTCATTTATAACATTGAAGAAACTATAGGCCGGGCGTGGTGGCTCACGACTGTAAGCTCAGGGCTTTGGGAGGATTGCTTGAGGCCAGCAGTTTGAGACCAGAGTGGGCAACATAGCAAGACCTTATCTCTATAAAAATAAAAAAATTAATCAGGTGTGGAGGCGCAGACCTGTAGTACTAGCTACTCAGGAGGCTGAGACGAGAAGATCTCCTGAGCCCAGGAGTTTGAGGCAGCAGTGAGCTTTAATTACACCACTGCAGTCCAGCCTGAGTGACAGAGTGAGACTCCATCTCTTAAAGAAAAATTACAGAGTACCTTGCAATAAATCTAACAAAAGATATTTAAAAGTTTTATGGAGAAAATTACAAAAAGTGGTAGACTTTTACTTTGTGGTCCAGCTCATAAGGAGCTTGGAAGTCATCAGCCTGTCCTAGCAGCAAGGAAAAGCTGAACAAACTGAAAAATCAACAACTCCTCTTGGATCTGTCGAGAAGCGCGATCACAGGGTAAATTGCCATCTCCCGGATTGGTGAGACAGACTGCGAAGACAGAGAACCACAACTTAGAGCAGAAGCTCCACAGAAACCAATGCCTGAACTGAAATTGATGGATTGCTCTAGGCTCCCATCTCTCCCTCACACCTGACATACAGACATATCAGCATATTGTTTTCTCTCGCTCTATATTCACCACCTCTTGCTGCCACCTGGGTTCAAGCCGCCATTCTCTTTCCTGGAATACTGCAGTAGCCTGGTAACAGGGTCTCCCAACTTTCTTAAACTTTGTGCCTCACCGGGCAGTCTGGATGAGCTTTTGTAGTCCAAGTTAGACCAGGTATCTCCACTACTCAGAGCTTTTTAAGAGATTCTTGTCACACTGGAAAAAAGTCGTAGGTATTTACTGTGGCCTACAGGGCCCTTCGAAGATGGATTCCTTATCTCTTACCACTCTTCCTAGCTCATGCCCCTCCAGCTACCTGGGCCTCATTGTTCCCTGAACACACCAAGCATGCTTCTCCCTCAGTCCAGAACGTTCTTTTCTCCAGATCCTGTGGCTTTTTCTTCATTTTATTCGAGTCTCTTTCTGTTCAAAAGCCACATGAAAGAGGTCTTCCCTGGTTCTATCTAAATAGCCTTTTTTGTCACCCTGTCACCTTACCCTGCATTTCATCACACTATAATGCTACCATTTCATTATACTTTTGTTTATTGTCTGCCTTCCCCACTAGAATTCTGAAGGTCAGGAACTATGCTTTATTTTTGACTTCCCTAATGCTTAGAATATAGTATTGCTTAGTATATACTGAATAGTGAGGCCTCCCTCCCTTACTCAAAACATATAGGAATTGCCAATTTTATAGACAGTTTTTATAGTCATGTTTTTATATTGATAGTAACTTCAGCCTCCACATCAATTTTTAGTGTGATGACAGCTAATTTGTTTACCTTTTTATATATTTACTTCCTGATTATTCTTTTTACTTCTGGATGTTTTTATATTTCCTTTTTTACTACTAGCTTTTTGTTTCTTTATATGTTTTCCTTTTTCAATACTTCATCATACAATAATTTTGGGGCTACTGTACATTGTTTCATTTTTAACATTCTTCATAGTGGTAAGTGTTCTCTGTTCTGATTTTTTTCTTTTATATTGTATTTTTAAAATCTTTGCAGTTCACTCCTACTTAAGATGAAACCACAATTATTAGAAGGTTTGCTTTCATTTTGCGTTTAAATGTTGAGGTTAGAATTTTGGAAATTATCTCATAAACCTAGTCCTAGCTTTCTTTCAATTGTGAAGACTGACTTTGCACGGTGTCTTGATGGCAGGTCTCCCTGTTTCCTCACCTGACAATTTCACTGTTTTAATAGTCAGTGGAACTCAGCATTGCATGCCTTCTTTGCTTTTCTGCTTGAAATCTAGTTTTATTTCAGATTCTGAGAAACAAATAGGCACCCCTTTACTCTGCCACTTTAATGTGGATGGTAAAAATGGAACTTCTTCCATCAAGGAGTTGTAGAGTCTAAATGCTGTTAAGAATAAGAAATTGCTTACTTATTTCTTACTCAAACATTTAGGGGAGGGAAGCCCAGGTAGAAGAATCGCTTGAACCCAGGAGGTCTAGGCTGCAGTGAGTCATGTTCATGCCACTGCACTCCAGCCTGAGCAACAGCCTGAGATCCTGTCTGGAAAAAAAAAAAGGAAAATGAATTCGAGGTTCAATATTTGGATATCACTATTGAACTGGAATTAAAACTCTCTCTACTCATGAACTCTCCTGAATTCTGTTCTTGGATTTTTAGCCTATTTCCGAACATTCCTGTTGAGATAGCCCTAGTATCATCTCATAATGATACTTTTGGACTGGATACCTCAGCATTCTCCCGGTTATCCAAGCTCAAATTTTTATAATTTTCTATAAACAACTATAGTTGTATCTTGTAGGCAATCATCAAGACCTAGCAATGCATCCTTCTTATGATCGGTTTAGTCCTACTTGTCACCAGCTTAGTTCAGGCACTTATATAACTTCAGACTTGGATTATTATGTTCTGCTGCCACCAGATGAATCTCTCTCTCTCTTTTTTTTTATTTTTATTTTTCCAGAGTTGGGGTCTCGCTCTGTTGCCCAGGCTGGAGTGCAGTGGCATGCTCACAGCTCACTGCAGCCTTGACCTCCTGGGCTCAGGTGATCCTCCCACTTCATTCTCCCAAGTAGCTGGGACTTATAGGTGTGCCCTACCATGCCTGGCTACTTTTATACTTTTGTATTTTTTGTAGAGACAGGGCTATTGCCCAGGCTGGTCTGGAACCCCTGCACTCAAGTGATCCACCTGCCTTGGCCACCCAAAATGCTGGAATTACAGGTGTGAGCCATCGTGTCCAGCCTGAGTATCCATTAATCAATATTTTGATATCATTCTCTCTATTGAAAAACTTTCAGTGAGTCACCAATGCCTATAGGGAAAGTTTAAGTGACTTAATGTGATAAGTTTTCCATAGGAAGATAAAGGTTATAAAAGTACTGTGAAAACCTCTGAAAGCTCAATTTGCAAGGAATTACTGGCTTTTTGATCACTTTTGTCAACTTTATTTTTCATATTTCCTTACAAGAGCCATCTACTTTAAGATAGAAAAATATCTATCCATAAGCCAAATTTTGACTCTTTTCATCTGTAATTGGTTCCACCCAATATTTATTAAGCATGTATTCTTTGCTGGGTGTGCATTTATGGTATATATAAATAAAACACCTTTTCCTCTCAATTCCTGTTCTGTTTATTCTTCAAAATGGAGCTTAAAGCCTTCTGTAAAGCTTTCCCTTAACTCCCTAGGCTACAGTAAAGTCTTCCTTTCAACCAGAAATGTACTCACTCACTTATATTGCTCTCTCTGGAGTATATATGCAAAAAGTGCACAAAATATGGACAGTTAATGAATTATCTAAAAGTGAACACTCATGTAACCACAAGCAAAAGTCAATAAATGGAATGTTACCAGTCCCCCAGAAGCCCACCACATGCTCCTCTTCAATCAGTGCCCACTTCTCTCCACCCCAAAAGGATAGGCATATTCTTCTCTTTATAGTTTTACCACCTCTTTCTCAAGTTTAAGTGAACAGAATCATAACTTTTGGCCTTGTTTTAACATTTTTGGTTTTACGTGTAACTGAAGTTCATTTTCATTGCTGTGTAGCATTTCATTTATCCATTTTATTTCTGATGAACATTTGGGTTTTCAGTTTAGGGCTATTACGAATAAAGCTGCTAGGGACATTTTCATATATGTATCCTGTGTACACATTCACAAGTTTTTCGAAGTTCTGTCCCTAGTAGAATTTGGATCACAGTATGCGTAGCTTCAGTTTTACTAGCTAAAGTCAGTTCTTTAATAGATTGGCCCAGTTTATACTTTCACCAACAGCATGTGACACTTCCCATTGCCTCACGTCCTGCCTTGTCAATACTTGGAATTTTCAGACTTAAATTTTTGCCATTTTGGTAGCTGTGTAGTGGTATCTAATTGTGGCTTTAATTCCTTGTTTCTTAAGGTGAGCACATTTTCATAGGTTTATTAGAAATTTGTAGTTATTTTGTGATTTGCCTTTCTCTATTTTTATATGGAGAACTTTTCTTTAAAATGAATTTATACAATCTTTTTACTTATAAAAGATGTTAACCTTTTGTCAGCACCAGCTTGGACTTAATGCTATAGGAGATTGGTGCAAAGCAAGCCTGAGATAGGAGGAATTTTTGGTCCCCCTTTTATAAAAATGGGAGATTTACAAATGCCTTCCCCTATTCCATACCCCAAAAGTCCTAAAATAGAAGATGGGTTATATAACTTCCATGGTTGATTGAGGCATACATGGGAACCATTCCATTTCTTTTCCTCACCATAGTCCTTAAGCTCAAATACTACATTAGTGTAAATAGTGATAAGGTGGTTTGGATTTCATCAGTGTTTGTGATAGATATGTGGTAGGATACATGGTGGGATTTACAAAAATCCTAACTTTTACAAGAAGAAATGTATTAACAAGTGAAGATTTTTGCCCAGTGAGCATTAGTTTTAAAGAAAAAGGTATCAGTCAGTGAGCAAGTGCTTTTTGAGTGCCTGCTATGTATCAGGCTAAGCTTTGGAAACAAGACAGACAGTATTTTATCCCTGTGTTTTATGTTTTAGAGTCATGTTTTTGAGGCACTATTAACAGCTGCATGTTTTATGCCATGGCATCATTTAGCAGTCATTGACAGGAATTAGATTAAAAAGTATTGAGGCAACCAGTAGTCACTAAGCATATCATCTTTGGAGTCAAACAGACTGGTTTCAGTTGATTCCAGAAATGTGTGACCTTATGCACATTACCTAAGCTCTCTGAAGTTGGCTTTTGTCATCTACAAAGTGGAAACAATAACCTATAATGTTATGTTGATTCAGTAAGGTATTTAATACATGTAAACTGCATAGCACATCACCCAGGGTGTATATCTGTCATGAACACTGATGAAATCCAAAATTACCTTATCACTATACATGCTAATGTAAGGCTTGAGCATGGAACAGCGAAGTGAACTAAAAGATACCCCAAGCCTGTTAAAGGAAACCAATACTGCCACATCTTCCTTCCACTTCCATTATACATTGGAGGGGAGATTTTATTTTCCCCCACTTTTTGCTTTTTTCCATTTTTAACTACGATGGTGTTTTCTAACTGCGTTTATATCCCTTATTACCTCTCCATTTTTTCATTTGATTATTGTTCCTCTAGCAATATTAAAATGAAGATACTTTCTTTAAATACGACCAGCGTTGAAACTAAAAGTTGAGTATGAGTGCAGTAAAATTGAATAAATATCTGCAGTCCAGGTAATGTTACTACTAATGTATTATTCTGTCTTATTAAAGCTTGTAGATTTTCAGTGGAAACTGGGTATGGCTGTGAGCTCAGACACTTGCAGATCTCTTAAGTATCCTTATGTTGCAGTGATGCTAAAAGTGGCAGATCATTCAGGCCAAGTAAAGACCAAGTGCTTTGAAATGACAATTCCACAGTTTCAGGTTTGTGTTTTAACTCATCCAGTTTTAGCTCATTTTTTCTGTAATCATCGTATAAAAAGATATATACAATTTTTCTTCGGGAAAACTTTAATGGTTTTTATTTGTAGATTGATGTGCTTTACGTTTACTAGTAGTATATGCAAGAGATGTGAATTTGTCTCCTTTGGGAATTTGATAAATTATTTTCAATATAATGTGCTGAATGTGTGTACTGTGCCATTTGATCACTTGAAAAGTACTCCTCTGAGTATATTTAGGAAATTTTTATCTTCAATGGCAGGATATTTACTTTGCATTTAAATGTTTTATTCTTATTCCTTTGGACTTAATGTTCAAGAATGTTAAGCTAAATGAATCTTTGAATAGTGCTGACCCTGAATTTTCTAACTAATAATGTTTACAAAAGGCAGGTCAGAGCAAGTGAACTTGTTGCCTGCCTTTATCAGCTAGGGACTTAAGTAACTCAGTAGTTTAGAGTTATGTTACCATATTATCATTCTACCTCTTTTCTGTAACCAAGGGGGAGTAAGGGTCGTGGTGGGGAGGGCTATAAATCAGGTTTTCTTTTTGTGTTTTCTTGAGACGGAGTCTCGCCCTGCCACCCAGGCTGGAGTGCGGTGGCACCATCTTGGCTCACTGCAAGCTCCGCCTCCTGGGTTCACGCCATTCTCCTGCCTCAGCCTCCTGAGTAGCTGGGACTACAGGTGTCTGACACCACACCTGGCTCATTTTTTTGTATTTTTGGTAGAGACGGGGTTTCACTGCGTTAGCCAGGATGGTCTCGATCTCCTGACTTCATGATCCACCCACCTTGGCATCCCAAAGTGCTGGGATTACAGGCGTGAGCCACCGCGCCCGGCCAGGTTTTCTTTTAAATGTACATACTGGAGATGTTTTGTCATGAATTTAACTGTCCTGTACATTTTTGTTTTTGTTTGTTTGGTTTGTTCCTTTTGGTATGAATAGGTAAGAATCTATTCTTAGCACTTACACTAGTACTAACTTAGTACTTACACTTAGTACTTGTAACAGCAGTTAGTACTCTAAAAGTCAAAGCAACCATCGTGAATGAAATGGAAATAAAAAGTGATTCTTCGTAAAACAAACTAAAATTATATTGGTCCTAGGCTTCCTTTTAAATAAAACTCTTTCATATACCACTTTATGGTACTTTTGATTTCTACTTTTATAAACTATATTTTAAATAATTTCTTTCCCTTTCTTTTTTTCCTTTTTTGAGACACAGTTTCACTCTTGTTGCCCAGGCTGGAGTGCAATGGCATGATCTCGGCTCACTGCAACCTCCGCCTCCCGGTTCAAGTGGTTCTCCTGCCTCAGCTTCCTGAGTAGCTGGGATAGCAAGCACGCACCACCACGCCCGGCTAATTTTTGTATTTTTAGTAGAGATGAGGTTTCACCATGTTGGCCGGGCTGGTCTGAAACTCCTGACCTCAGTTGATCTGTCTGCCTCAGCCTCCCAAAGTGCTGGGATTACAGGTGTGAGTCACCATGCTCAGCCTGATTTCTTTATTTAAAATAGATATCCCTGCTTTGAAACAAAAATAATGTTCACAAATTTAACATTATTAGTGTTGATTAGTGTCTTGGAACTGAGACTCAGTGAAAAGGAAATAAATGTATATTGTGATATGGGAATGACATTCAACTAAATATGAAGACTCAGTCAATTTCAAGAGAGAATATACGTTTTGGTTTTTCTTGTAATTCACAGTGCTGGCCTAATTCTTATTATTCTGTGCAGCATTTGTGCTATCCTAATTCCACCTCTAGAAATTTTTTCTCATAGGGAAAAAAAGCACAAATGGATTAATTTTTTCCACATCTTTATTGAGGTACAGTTGACAAAATTGTGTATTTCGAAGGTTTCACAATGTGATGATTTGATAAACATACACATTTTGTAATGATTACCACAGTCACGCTAATTAACACATCCACCTCCACACATAGTTACCTTTTTTGGGGGACAGAGTGTGTGTGTGTTGAGGGCATGTAAAATCTTTTTTTAGCAAATTTCAACTAAACAATACAGTATTATTAACTGTAGTCACCATATTGTACATTAGATCTCAGACTTACTTATTTTATAACCAAAAGTTTGTACCTTTTTACTAAAATTTCCCCATTGACCCCAGCCTCAGCTCCTGGCAACCTCCAGTCTCCTTTCTGCTTCTGTGAGTTTGACTTTTTTAGATTCCACATAAGTGAGATCATGCAGTATTAGCCTTTCTGTGTCTGGCTTATTTCACTTTGCATAATGTCCTCCAGATTCATCCATGTTGTTGCAAATGGCAGGATTTCCTTCTTTTTTTATGGCTGTGTGATATTCCATTATGTGTGTATGTATACACATACATAGTATATACATATAATATATACATACATTATAAACATATTAAATATAAATATACACAAAAACATTTTCATTAGAGGCAACTCTTTTAAAGAGTTTTTACATGGGTTAAAACTGACCACAAGATAACCTGTTAATCACATTACATGACTGAGAGCTAAGGAACATTCTTTGAGCTTTTAATTTATATCTGTTTGGTAACTAAAATTTTGAACATCAAGACATATTTTTAAAGAAATAGTTACACTTTGCTTTGTTCTGTGACAAATTTGCATATCAATTAAAACAATACAAATCCTCTTAAGTAGCAAAATAAAAAATTGAGACCAAATAAGAAGGAAAATGCAGATGTGTCAATCATTAGAAGGTATCCTGATTGCCAAGGTTAGGTTTCAAATTTGTCTCCTGGCTTCCTGGTAGGTACAGGAGAAGACAGAAGAACAATTCGCCTGATTCCTTTCTTACCTGAGATGTAAAAGAAGATGACTTCTATAGGAGAACCATTATACCAGCTTAATTTTTAAATGACAGAGAAATAAGCTCTACCATATAAGCCATTGCTAATGTTGGATCTCTCTTCTAGTAATTGAACCCATAATCTTAAATGAGACAGCCCCTACCACACTGAAATGCAGTTCTTTACTAGATTGAAAGTGTTTTGAGGCCTGGAACCAACCTGTTATTTTTGTTTTTATTTTCAGTGTCTAGGACAATGCTGAGTATTTAATAAATCTGGTGTGATCTTAAAAGGACTTTCTCATGTACTTTTTGAAAAGTTTAGTTATGAGATAATTATCCAACTCTACAGTAGTATTTTTGCTTGCAGTACCAAATTGCACCTGTTTATTTCTTACAGCAACCTTCAGTAATTGAGAATGTAACATTAAAATGCAAACTGAATATGTTATATAGTCTCTGGTAGTCAGATATAATTAAAATAACTACTTAAATATCTTCTAAAATCAAAATTAATATTATTTTCCCCATTTCTCTCTAGAATTTCTACAAACAGTTCAAGGAAATTGCTGCAGTTATTGAAACAGTGTGAAGACGGATTCTTTGGTTGATAAATTGCTATCATTCTAAAGTCATGGACTTCACTTTCTGCCACAGAACCACATAAGGATGGAACATTTATTGAATGAAAAATGCACTTTTGTTTTTCCATTTTTTTAAATAATAAAAATCAGATAAACAGGAATTGGGTAGTGGTAATCAATGCACAACTTTGTGAATGTGCTTTATAAAAGTGACTGAATTAGACACTTTAAAGGTTGTACTTGGTGATAATGTGAATGATGTAATCAGACTAACATTTGAATCATTGCTATTGGAGGCAGCACAAATTTATGTGTTACGACAGTAGTTTAAAAACTTGTACTGGATGGAACCCATTTTATAAACAATCTTGAGTCATATATAAATATATATATAAATCAGAAAAGTAGTATTTGATTAGGATAACTTGACAAATTCAATTGTATAGCCATCACTTATTATAACGGCAGTCAGAAGAGTGAGCTGCTTTTTTCAAACAGTTGTAATCAGATTAAGATTGACCATTGCTCCTTTACACAGTATTAGTCTAGCATTCAATTTTTTCTGGTATTAATGGTTGTAGAAAGTTCAAATACATACACAGAGTTGGAAAGACAAGTTTTAGTCTTTGAGTTTTGTACGACTGAGTTAACCTGTTGGCACAAGTTACTGCATTAGATGATCTCTCTTGGATTTAAATATATAAACCTGTTGTTAAACTTTTATATTATAAAGCTACCACATTGTATGGCATTTGTTTAGAAGTAAGCAAATAGGCCACCGGAATAGAATAGATGGCCTAGAAATAGATCAAGACATTCTGGTCCACCACATTGGAAATTTAAACCCTCTTCACACCCTGTCTGCATTTCTGCAGGTCCCGTGTGAGTCCACTTTCTTCTTTGTTTTCTGCTAGGTAGCACACTGCTGTGAGGAGCCCAGGACTGCTGCCTGCCGCAACACACCTGTGCGCTCAGATTCTCACCAGCTTGATGAGTTAGCTGATGGGCCATTTGTGCACACCAACTACCCACAGACATTTCTATTACCCACCCTCTGGATGCCAACGCATTAATGATCCTAGAATTCTGAGAAACCAAAGATCCCTTCTCTGTCCCTCCCTCAATTCTGTGGGGTACCAGTGTCATTGTGTTCCTAGAAATGAGTAGAAACCCCTCTATCTGGGTTAGAACAACAAACCTGCCTTCTATAACTGTGCATGAGGTTCCTCTGTCTCCCACTTCCTTTGGATTAAAACCTTCTTTTTTCCCCTTCCCTATTTGCATGGTAGCATTTCTAGGTTTAAGGCAATATGCAAAAAGACCCAAAGGTAGGCCCTGGCTCAAACACTGTGGGTGGCAGATTTGAAATAAATTTAAATTGCATGTTTAAGTTTGTCTTTTGAATTTAAAAAGCAAGTTTTAACCTGGCACTTTGGGAGGCTGAGGTGGGCAGATCACTTGAGGCCAGGAATTCAAGACCAGCCTGGCCAACATGGCAAAACCCCATTTTTACAAAAAATAAAAAAATTAGCCGGGTGTGGTGGCATATGCCTATAATCCCAGCTACTCGGGAGGCTGAGGCAAGAGAATTGAATGGACCCGAGAGGCAGAGGTCGCAGTAAGCCACGATCTCATCATTGCACTTCAGCCTGGGTGATAGAGTGAGACTGTCCCCACCCCCCCACCAAAAAAAAATAAAAAGTTTTTTCATAATGTATTTTCACACTTTTTATTACAAATGTCTATTTTTGCTTTATTAAGAAAAATGTCTATTTTTGCTTTATTAATCAGCTTCAGTGGGCTGGCCTGGGAATTAACCATTGTTAAAATTTCTGTGGAAAAGTGTGTTTCAAGTTTCAAACAGTTGATTTAAATGTAAACTTTTAGAAAACAGCTCATTCTCAAATGGGAAACTATTAATACACTTTTAGTTTTCAAAAAGAAATAGATTGCTCCCCCCCACTCAAATTTATCAAGCAAAACCCAAGTTTTTTCATGTATTCCACTACCAAGACATGTTGATACAAGCATCAGATTTATATAGAAAGAAGGCAAAACTCACAAAGTACTTAAGGAGAATTGTCTTTTCAAACAGTTTTTTTTTTTGGTTTTTTTTTTTTTTTTTTTTTTTTTGAGACGGAGTCTGGCTCTGTCTCCCTGTCTGTAGTGCAGTGGTGCAATCTTGGCTCACTGCAATCTCCGCCTCCCGGGTTCAAGCTATTCTCCAGCCTCAGCCTCCTGAGTAGCTGGGATTACGGGTGTGTGCCACCGCATTTGGCTAATTTTTGTATTTTTAGTAGAGAAGGGTTTCACCATATTGGCCAGGCTGATCTCAAACTCCTGACCTCAGGTGATCTGCCCACCTTGGCCTCCCGAAGTGCTGGGATTACAGGTGTGAGCCACCGCGCCCAGCCTTTCAAAACACATTTTTAAAAATCTTTTGTACCTTTTGTTTTTTAAAACTTCATAAAAGTTTTAAATTTATAGAAAAATTGTGGAAATAGTAGAGCTCCCATATTCTCCATGTCCAGTTTCCCTTATTAACATAGTATGGTACATTTGTTATAATTAACAAGCCAATGTTGATATATTGGATTTCTTTAGTTTTTGCCTAATGTCCTTTTTCCGATCTAGTATCCCATCCAGGATACCTCATTACATTTAGTTATCATGTCTCCTTAAGCTCCTCTTGGTTATGACAGTTTCTCAGACTTTCCTTGTTTTTGATGACCTTGACAATTTTGAGGAGTACTAGTCAGGTATAATTTAGGGTGCTCCTAGATTGGGTATCGTCTGATGTGTTTCTGGAATTGAATTGTGGGTTTTTGGGAGGAAGATCACAGAGGTAAAGGGCCATTTTCTACATGTCATACCAAGGGTTCATATAGCAAAGTGATTTATATTGGTTTATGTTGACCTTGATAATTGACTGAAGTAGTGTTTGTCAAGTCAAGTTACTCTTTTTTCCCCTTCTTTCCATACTTCACTGTTCGAAAGGAAGTCACTATCTGCTGCCCTTACTGAAGGAGTGGGAAGTTATACCCCGCTCTTTTACGGTGGAGCAGCTACATGTTTGACTTGAAATTCTTCTGTGAGCAAGGTTTGTCTCTTCTCCCTCATTTATTTATTTATTCAATCATTTATATCAGTAGGTACTCATGGATATTTATTTTATACTTGGAGTTATAATTGAATTTTTTTGTTGCTCAAATTATTCCAACTTTTCCATTGGTAGTTTTTTGGGTTGGCTTATGCGCCCCTTTTTTTATCAATGTGTGTGTGAGAACACTTTCTTTCTGACACTACAAGACACTTTATCTTGTATATTTCCTGCCACAGTCCTAGAATCCCATTACTTTCAGGAGCTCTGGTTATTTTAACTGAACTATGGTTTTAGAAACCAAGATATGGATGCCAGGTTTGCTCTATATTTTATATTTTGAGAGCATTAAAATGTAGAAGTCAGCTGGGTGTGGTAGCTCATGCCTGTAATCTCAATTCTTTGGGAGGCTGAGGTAGGAGGATCACTAAGCATTTGAGGTTACAGTGAGCTATGATTGTCCAGCCTGGGTGACAGGACAAGACCCTGTCTCTAGGAAAAAAAAAAAAAAAAAAGTTAAAAAAGTTATGCTGCCAAGATATGTTAGACCACAAAGCCAAGCCCTTGTTTGAGGATTGGTAAGAATGGTGACCTGGACTCAGTAAATGCTCTCACTTCAGTATACGATGGAATCACCTAACAAACAGGACAATATTTTGTATATGCCCTGTTTGTATGTATAAGATCAAAGATGCAAGAAAGTGGATATATCTACTTGGTAAGGTAGGCTAGAAGGTTGATAGTTTTACTAACTCATGAGGAGGCAGATAGCATCTAAGTTTGAGGAGCCCAGAATTTTGGGCTTGCTGTCTTTCATACTGTTTTGAGCTGAATGGGATGGATGGGGAGAGGACCCACTCTTACCAGGACATTTTTGAAAATAAAAGGTGACATCATTAATATGCTACAATACAGATACAAATTGGAACTGCCCTGAGCATACCAGGACATATGGTCATGCAAGTCTCATCATACAAAGAAATTATTACTTAGCCACAACATCTATGTTCTATTTCCCTTTGCATCATAAGCCTGTTGAAGGATTCAATGTAGTGCCCTTAAAGTAGACCTAGTGTTGGCCAATTGCAGCTCATATTAGACTTACTGGTCATGCCCTAAGGCATAAAAGCTTACATTTGAAAGATACCTATGTGTATATAAAGTATTCATCACTGAATGTTGTATTATTTCATTCTCTCACTGCTATAAAGGAATACCTGAGACTGGGTAATTTATGAAGAAAATAGTGGCTCACAGTTCCTTCTTAAGTGGCTCACAGTTCTACAGGCTATGTAGGAAGCAAGGCAGCTTCTCCTTGGCTTCTGGGGAGGCCTCAGGAAACTTGCAGTTATGGTGAGAGGCAAAGAGGAAGCGAGCATTTCATACGGCCGAGAGCAGGAAGAAGAGAGAGAGGTGGTGGAAGGTGCCACCCACTTTTAAACGGCCAGGTTTCTTGAAAACTCACCATCATGAGAACAGCGCCAAGAAGAGAAATCTGCCCCCTTGATCTAGTCACCTGCCACCAGGCCCCATCTCCAACACTGGGGATTACAATTCAACATGAGATTTGGGTGGGGATACAGATCTAAACCACATCATTCTGCTACAATCCCTCCCAAATCTCATGTCCTTCTCATATTCCAAAATACAGTCATGTCTTCCTGATAGTTCCTCAAAATCTTAATAACTCATTCCAGCATTAACTCAAAAGTACAGAGTCCAATGTCTCATCTGAGACAAAGATAGTCCCTTTCCTCTATCAGCCTGTAAAATCAAAAACAAGTTGGTTACTTCCAAGATGCAATGGAGGTATGGGCTTTGGGTAAACATTCGTACACCCAAATGGAAAAATTGGCCTAAAGAAAGAGGCTACAGGCCCCATGCAAATCCGAAACCCATCAGGGCTGTCATTAAATCTTAGAGCTCCAAAATAATCTCTTTTGACTCTATGTCTCACATCTACGGCACACTGGTGCAAGAGGTGGACTCCCAAAACCTTGGGCAGCTCCACCCTGTGACTGCAGGGTTTAGTCCCTGTGGCTGCTCTCATGGCCTGACATT